CCCTGATCTACACCAAACATGTGAATCAAGGACAAGATGTGACCACCTAAAACAGTCCAAAAATGCTGTTCAATTGGATCATAATCATGTCTAAAATCACACATTCTCTGACCTTCAGTTTCCAAAGATAAGATTAATTTCTGTAAAGCATTAATCAGTAATGCATGAAACCGTTTGGTTTGGCCAAATCAAAACTGCCATAGACTAACTCGGGCTATCTAAGACGACTGGCATTATAGGATTATTTTTCTAAAATCTCAATCTCTCATGATCCCTCTTATCAGCTAAATGGCTTATCTTTTGTGAATGTAGAAATCAATACATCAACAAGCGAATGAAAGACCTCTTTCAGTGCTAGCAAAAGAAAAGCTTTGCAGTATGAAGACAGTGTTATCGCTTTTGCACAAAATGGAAGCTGCAGAGATAAAGTTGAACTGGATGTAAATGGTCTTGAGTTACCATTAAATAAAATCTCTCGCTATATATTTTAACCTAAACCTTCAAACTGTAAAAAAGTGGACTTTCAGTATAAGTATCTGGGTCTTGAAACACTGAGAAATGTATTTAATATTTTAGAGCTTCAAAAGCCTGTTTACCGGACAAAATTCAGTATAAACATGTATAAGAAAGGTCAAAAATTCAAATCAACCCTGAGAAAATTGCACAAATTCACTACCAATTTGGCAACTTGACACCAAGAACATGTTGAATTTTTCTATGATAAAGGATTTGCTTCACTGCTCTCACTTTCTCTGAAGCAATTCATTAATCACGATCATATAATGTCTCCAATTAATGTCTATAATTCACCTGATTTATCATTAAAAACGCATTAAAGGACACAGAATGCTCTTTAAGAACTACATGAGTTTGTGTTTAAGGAGGGCCTTGCAGGTCACATGCTGCAGAAAAGCATTGATAATAAGCTTAAGGTCTTGTTCCACATGAATGTTTTTCGGAAATGGAGGTTTCAAGATATGCACCAGTATCATAGGCTGACGGATGAGACTCCGCTGTGCTAACAGAGCTCAGGAATGGCGTTGTACGGTTGTAGGAGGCCAGTATTTGCGTTGGGTCAGAGTTCACACATCGCTGGGGAGTGACAGAGAACGTGGAGTGAATTTAAATGAGTTTGTGGGCTGAGAGTTGAAATGATGTGGGAATCCTTGAAATCTAATTGTCAGCGTCAAAGTTAGATTTTCTCATCCATGCGAGCAGAACATCAAGAAATGTTGTGGGTAATGTGACTTGAAACCCATTTCCAATATTGTTTAAATACTGATTTTTAGGATTTGTTTTGAAATGGCCAACAGTCTTAAGATAGTTTGAGGCTTAGATATATATAGTACACCCCATTTTGAAAATTTTTTGAAAAAAAAAACAGATTTATTAAACAGATATATCGATTAAAATAATATTTTAGTCTCTGAACATATTTAGAAATGGAAAGATAATACATTTAAATTATGTGAAATGTAGAAATAAAATTACAAACTACAAAATTTCAACAAAATTGTGTATATTTTTTGTTACTCTTAAATTTTGCTCTTTTAAAAATAATTTTTTCCAACATATAAATTTTACTGAACCAATTTTGAACAGTTCTCATAAGTTATTTTGTTAGATCAGCTCCATTTTGGCTTCAGTACTGAAGATATACTAATGTATATGCACAAATATAAAACTGTAAAGCTACCTATAGAAAATTAATTTAAATGAGAGATTTGTGAGAGGTGTACTCAGATATGTTGAGCCCTGTAAATACCAATTTGGTGGGGAATGCAGGACATGGGATATCAAATAATAACCTTCTCACACTGGTCATCAGTGTTCATTTTGTTGACTAAAAATTCGTATCAGAATTTTTGTTGATGAATAAGTTTCTACTGACAAACTCTAGACACTGTTGCCTAAGCTCTGCCCAAAAAGTCGCTAAAATTCACTAGATTACATCATATGTTAATTTGCATATTACTGACATCATCACATTCTACCATATTGTTTGTTTAACAGCCTATGGTCAATAAAGGGTATTTATATTTCCACTACGCTTTATGCAAGCATGTCAATTTAACTAAATTCATTGCTGTTTGAATAGAGCATATCATTATAGATGTGTAGTGAATTGCTTAATAACTTAATAAACTCAGATAAGTTCTGAAACTCACTTTAAGCATCTGTGATTGTGAACAAGAAAAGAATAAACGGTCGAATTAAATTGTTAAAATAAAGAAGAACCTGATCAGTTTGACTTGAGGTGGGAGAGGCTGCTTTACGAGGACTGGGCCGCCTGTCAGTGCTCTGAGGAGGGGGAGGGGTGGGGGCGAGTGGCATCACCTGCAGCTCGTTGAGAAGAGTATAGGGACAGTACCATATAGGCAAATGACAGTCTTTAAAAATCTCCAGTAACATACAAAAAGGCGTTAGGTTTGTCGCTAGTCGCTTTTTTAAAAAATTTGTCACTATGGGTGTCTGAAAATTTACTAAATCTAACGACAAAGTCGTCAAGTTGGCAACACTGAATCAAGATGAAAATTAAGAGATAATGACAACTATAATAAAAATATACTGACATTTTCGTTGACTAAAAGCAAAACGAGAATCGCATTGAGTTTTTTTTTTTTTAGAAAATATCCAATCTGAATTAACTGAAACTATTTTAAGCCCTTTCAAAGATTTAATGGCTTGAAACTGTTCAACAGACTGGTTAAAAATACTTGCAGTTTACCATGTTAAAATAAAGAGTTTGCTAAATAATATCACAATCCTGCATTTTCAGATTCTTACATGTGGAATGATTGCCGACAGATAATTTTACTTATTACATATTAAATCAACAATGCATAATAATTGTTGGTCTTCAATGGAAAAGCTATATTCCATATTTTAATGAGATTTATGAGTTTTGTTGAATTTTAAGTTAGAATATTTAGTATAAATAAATGTTTACAATTTTGAATTAAATTACACCTAAATTAAACCAAATATATTTAAGTCAACTAAATCTCGAGTAAATTTAGTCAACTAAAATTTTATGAAATTTAGTCGACTAAAACTAGACTAAAACTAAAATCACTCAGAAGACTAAAATATGACTGTAACTAAAATGATTTAGAAGACTAAAATGTGACTGAAACTAAAATGATTCAGAAGACTAAAATTTGACTGAAACTAAAATGATTCAGAAGACTAAAAATAAAATGATTCAGAAGACTAAAATATGATTGAAACTAAAATGATTCAGATGACTAAAATATGACTGAAACTAAAATAGAATTTTAGTCAAAAGACTAAGATTTGCTGTCAAAATTACCACTGCTGGTCATTGGTAAATATTAAACTTCTTAGCCACATGCTATCTGTTGCATTCCTATCTTAATAGCAGTTTTGTTGATTGTACACAGTTTGAGCTCCATGGCTTGAATGTTCACAGCAGACAGGGAAAAATCGATGCAGAGATCTCCTAGAAAGACATGTTTGAAAGTGTTGACGCCAACTAGCATGCTAGCCGTGGTCAGCACATGTTTTGTCAGCACTGAGTAATTGCCCACAACCATCAAGGCACTGGCTCTGCACAGGTTAAGTGATTTTTACCCCATCAATATCCTTTGTAAAGCAGATCAATGGTGCACAGAGGATGCACAGAAGTGTATGTTTTGTTGCACATAAAACTGTCTTTTTTTGGCACTAGCACTGTATAAAAAATTAGCTTTCATTTAGCTTTGAATATCATAGCCAGTTTTCATTACATAACCAATCATTTTCCTGTATATTTATGCATGGAAGGACACAAAAGAACAAAGAACTAAATTAGAATTAAAACAATACAGCACTTTCACCAAACACTTTCTCCTGCTGGGCAGCTGGACGCGTGTGCTTCTGAAGATCTGAAGAGCGCTGAATGTGAATATGAAGATCAGAGGGAGTGAATGAGACACCTGTTTGCCTGCACGACAACAACACAGCAGTGAAAACCAGTCAAAAACACACACTTTCATGAGAAAAAGAGACAAAAGCTTTTAGATAAATCCGCTCACAGGACGTAGACACGTTTACATCACAACAATGTACTAAAAACAAAGGCTCTTTTTGGATGTGTTAGGTTTTGTGTGCTGATGGCAATGTCATCCTATGGATGGGTGCAAACTGAAGATGCTGTACTCAAACCAAGCCAGTAGATGGCAAGGTCACTTACAATAAAACACCATCAGTGCACATAAGGTCCTGTAGTTTATCATTAGGTGCATTTCCATTACAGGTAAACACAAACCTTTTGCAATATTTGCATTTCCCACTGCTTAATTTAAGCCAGATCTTGCCGGATCCTGTTCCGAGAAATGTCAGATGTTCGTGTTTCGTGTTCCGGTATTTATTTTGATTGATCCCGCATTAACTTTTGCATGGTGAATACTTGCATATATGTGAGAGAGAGAGAGAATGTGGATGAATACAAATGAAAAACAGCAGGCAGTCACTTTCTACCAATCAGCTTTCTTACGTTTACAATCACTTTCATAGGTCGGTGATTATTGTTTCGCACATAGTGAGCAACGAATATAAATAATGGCATAGTGGCCTACCTAAATAAAATTTGTATTTTGACAATGCCAGAAGCAGACAAACATATATATTTTAAAACCATGATGAGCCTGATCATAAGAAAAGGAAACTGCTCCCCTGGATCAGGAAAGCAGGAGACAGAAGCAAAGCTATCTCAAATCAGCCAGAAAACATGAGGGAAGAGGTAACTGTGGGCTCTTCTTGGTGATTAGACAGAGTGAGTCATTTTCGCTGGGCACATAATAGTGAAGTGAACTGAATGTCAGTGGTGGTAGTTAACTGATTCGTGCAATTTATGTTTGTAGCTACATGTTTGGCTGTTTTTTTTTAATTCATGGTGGACACGTAACCTTATTTTGCACAAAATAACTAAAATGTAATGCTTTTTTTGCTATAACCGCTTAGTAACGTCATATTCCGGAAAAACGGAAATTCTTTGGTGGAAGTTGGTCACGATAACCTTTATTTCCTGGTTTTATTCTGGAAATTATTCATTTACAAGTTGAGCACTGGTGTTTTCATTTAACATTTGACCTTTATTTAAACCATGTGACTTGAAGTTTTGCTAAATTTTATTTTCAAATAGCCTAAAAAGCTCATTTTTAAAGTGTTTTTGTGAAAGTGACACATTTTTTTGTGAAGCATTTTGCTTTTTTTAGACAAGCATTATCATTCTAACAATTTCACAATTCCCTAAAACCACTAATGATATACAGAACAGAATAATTAAAGTTCATGAATTGTGCGACTAAAATAAAACCATATACCTTTATCATCCTGTTGATCAGATGCAGACTTAGTTTGCATATAAACAGTGAATGATTTGCGATCACATTTAAGACTGGCCTCCTGCTTGCCATTACACTGAACTGAAGAGTGAGCTGACAAACCTCTCCTGTTTCTCGTAAAATAATCCAGATGGCTGACAGAAAGCCCTGTGGTCCTGTCTGATTCTCCTGCTGAAGATTGAACTGCATGACTGTGGTGTGGTGGGCAGGATCACACTGACATTTTTTACCCAATAATGCATCATAATGATGAAATATTCAGGCTTAAATGTCAGGAGCTGCAGCAGAAACCTTTAGACTTGATCACGAGTGAAGAAATATCTGTTGTTCGACTAGCAAAATGAGGATAAACAAATGATGAAACCAAACTAATATTTTTGAATATTTTCCATGCATCTGAGTTTCTTGTGTGTTTTTCTGAGGGGATTTGTTGGTATAGTTGGTACAGACAGCTCAGTTCAGGGCAGTCACATCGTGATTTTTTTTCTTTAAGTTGTTCAAGCCTAGAAATGCAGGAAAAACACAAACCTTTAGCTATTTGTGTAATGCTCTCACTCCCCCTCCTTTTCTTATGTCCTTAACTGTTGGTTTTATTTCATTAATTTTCTAGACTTGCTAATGAGCTGGCTGCACACTGAACTAAGCCAAATATTTTTGTTTGCAAAGTTTTTTTTTTCTGCAGCATTCAGTGCTTTCTCATTTAGGATCATGAACATGAACTCAAATGTAATAAACAATTTTTAACTGAAAAGTCTTTTTTAGATAAAAAATAAAAAATAAAAACAGCCGGCACAGGACATCAACATGACATCAGATTAACGTTGTACCCCAACAACATCATGGGGACTTTGCATTTTGTTTTGAAATAAAAATCGGTTTGATGTCAGAATCCAATGTCAAGCCAAAGTATAAACCTAAAATCAACCAAATATCAATGTCTAATGATGTACAGCTTGACTTTATGTGGATGTTACCACGATGATGTCTGTCAGACGATGGATTTTGGTTGCCAAATTTCACGTCAATATGAGGTTGGGTTAATACGTTGGCACGACATTAGATTTTTGCTAACTGTCCAACACAACCTAAAATTAAGCAAATATAAACGTCTTATGGTGTCACAGCTTGGCACTGTGTGGATGTTACCACTATGACGTCTATCAAACGTTGGATTTTGGTTGCCATAACTTGATGAATTAATGTCAGTGTTTCACGTCATTATAACATTGGTTTAATACCCGACATTGGATTTTGGTGACTTTCCAACACAACTTAAAGTCACCCAAATATCAACATTTAATGATTTTACAGCTTGACGTTGTGTGGACGTTACCACTATGATGTCTATCAGATGTTGGATTTTGGTTGCCATACCTGACAAATAAATGTCCGTATTTCACATCAGTATGACGTTGGTTTAAGATTGACGTTGGATTTTGGTCACACAACTTGAAATCAACCAAATATCAACATCATTTGACGTCATTATTGGAGTTCAAAGTATTGTACTTTGACGCTGAATTCTGGTCACTTGACATCACAACCAAAATCGAACCTAATGATAACGTCTTGTGACGTTGTGTGCTGCTGGGAAAACCTTGAAATAAAATAAATGATCAAATTAATGCCAATTAATGGTAAAGATTCCCAAATGTGACTGTGTAAATTGAAAAATGTGTAATAGAAGAATGAAAAGTTTCTTTTAATATTATTATACACTTTTTTTAACCACCTATTTGACTGCTTTTTTTTAGGAATAAACCTTAAAATGTTGTACTTACAGTATGAGTATCTAGGTCCGGTAGCAGAGAGAAAAGTATTTAATATTTGATGGTTTCAAAAGCTTGTTCACAGGACAAAAGGCAATAGTTTGCCATGCTTCAGCACATTTGATCCTCAGCCCAATTCAAATTGTGCTTTATCAGTGTATGGTTCGTTGGATTCTTAAACTTGCTAAATGTGTAAGACAGCCTTGAAAGAAGAAAAAATATATAATTAAGGAAAAATTGTACTCAGCTCTCAGCTGAGGCCCAAGAATCTCTAGTGAATTTCTAAACAGTCCGAATCCAGGACCGGGTCGAAAGCTGTCAGGCTCTGCAAGTAAATTCACATTTATCTTGCTGAAGCCGCTCCGACTCGCTCACTTGCCTTTAAATGCTCCGATAAGCAGCTGCTTTCCCTGAACCGCTTCAATTAATGGACTTCCTGGAGTACTCTCATTTGTGGAGGTGCAAATGGCTCTTTTTTCCCCTCCTCAACTTTATCTTTCCTGATGCAGTTTACTTTCACCTGGTGGTTTCTTGGATCAGTGCGAGGCGACGTCGCGACTGTCGCCCCTGACAACAGTCACTATGGGACCCGAGAGATGCTTACGCAAATGAGAGCGAGCAAAACAAGTGATAAACTGTACCACAGGAGACAGACAGACAGAGTGCCGGCCTTAACCCTCAGAGCCCGACCACTTTTAATGAGGTACATTTTCAGCTTTAGCTTCAGCTGTGAAGAAAACAAAAGCCCGGTCCCAGCAAGCCACAGCCAAATAAGCACAATGTAAAATGTGAATGACAGCCGAAAGGTTAAAGTCATTACGAAAAAATACATTCACATCTACATGAAAATAACTGCTTTCATGTGGCGTCTGCATGCGTGCGTGCGTCCTTTGAGGTTTTGCAGAGCCAAACAAACATGTTTACTTGTCCTGCATGTGTATTTAGCAACATAAAGAGAATTTCAGATATAGTCAAGTTGCGAATTACTGGGGGGTTTTGGAAGGGGACTGACCCCCCCTGATTAATGCTTGATCCCCCTGAAGGACGTCAGAGCAAGATGTATAAGGGGTCAGCTCTTTAATACTGAGAAATAGTTCACTGTATTTTAAATAATAATCTTAATAATTTAAATATAATATAAATATACATTTGACCTCCTCTTCAACGGTTCATACCATTGCAATCAGTCTGTGCCTAAAAAAAATCATTCAACAATCTGAAACTGCCAGATCCATAGCATCTGTTTACAAGACTGTTGTCTCGTAATATAATCGTTTGTTTGTAAAAATAGCCTGAAAATCTAATTAGATGTATGGTTAGACATCTGAAATAGCTAATCAGAGGATACTGTACGTCAGAATACACTAAATATATATCAAAATACTGAAAACTTAAGTATGTTTTATTAATATATTAGATGTAATTAAAAAAAAAGCATGTATTACACAAACTAACATTACCGAAAAAGTTGTTCCCCCTGATCGTCGTTGTATAATTTTCACACTTGCTATAGACCATTTTGAGGGATGTAAACAAAAACAATGGTCCCAACGTTTTTCTCGATTTACATTTTGTATCTCTATAGCTTCTGAGAATCCAAAAAGAGCTACATATTGATAAATTATGTCATGATACCTGTTATTGCCTCCTGGTACAGTTATGAAATAGTTTGATAGCAAGTACACGGGCCAATGACAGCACCACATTGAAATGGTCTATATGTTTACATTCATATATTTAACAGACCGTTTTATCCAAAGCGACTTGCATATGAAGACAACAAAGAACTTTTTAAGAAAAAAAGGATGGATGAGAAACCAATCAGTGAAAAATAAGTTGATCAAGATCACGGAAGTGTGATAGAGATGGCTGAGGTCAATTTTATTGAGGTTCGATAAACTTTGAGTTTGTAACAAGTGCCAATTACAGACCCACAAATATTTTTGTGAACATAGATCCAGTTTAGCTTTACCTCAGTCATGGGTGAACGGAAAAATCTCCCACTGTAACCTTCTTAAATTTGAGTTGTAAGCTTTCCTCATGCGAAAATCATTACTGTGTTTACATTTTTTATAATTTTTTTCATTTTTTCCTTAAAAATGTAGTGTTGTTGTTATTGTCATCATTAAAAGGCCTCCCCAGCAGGCACCTTGATGTCAAAACAACATCAAATTGACATTGAGCTCAAAAAACGTCAACATGTCAAATCCATTTGATTTCAAAACCTTGACATCTATTTGAAATCCGCACACTGATGCCTATTTCACCACCAAGAAAAGTATTATAGTTTAAGAAATGTTTTATTCTCATCTGAAAGCTCCAAATTTGCAATTCCAAATTTGAACCTGATTTTGTATCCCTACAATGCATGTAAACTACCTTGATATCAAAACAACATTAATTAGCATCTAACATTGATGTCAAAAAACATCAAACAACTATGATTTTGACTAGCATGGTCAATCAAAACAATCATAATTCCTCAACATTTTAAACAAAGAAGATTACATTATTTCTGAAAAAAGTGCTCCAAAATGCTCCAGAATGAAAAAAAAAAAAACAAAAAAAACAATACAGAATGAGTGGAAATTAGCATACATTGTCTAATAAGACTCCTAGGACAACAGTTTGTATCTCGTCTGTTTTGTGTTGAGGTTTGTCATTGTTAATATGAATAAATCAGCAGGAGACATGGTTCGGTCCTGACAAGACATGCTTGGTTGGTTTTCACATGACTGTGTCAATAAGTACCTCGCACTCATCTTGAATACAACAACCCATTTATTTTCTGACCGCTGTCAATTCGCACTCAACGTGACGTCCTGCAAGTCTGAAACTGTTGCATCTGTGTTTTAACACTCTGAAAACAAAATAACTAAAGCAAAGGTTCACTACCATACTGAGATGGTAATCGACCCAGACACAGATGGCTTTCTTATTTATTTACTTACTTATTTCTGCTGCTTTACCTGTATTTTTGAAATACTTTGCGTCATGTTTTGAAGTTGAATCCAGTGTCCATATGGAAACTGTGCTGGTGAATTTCTGCTTGGACATCTATATTTTTTAAAGTGTGTATTACATTATTATTTATTTATTTTGGTTGTTTGTTTGTCTTGATTAGTTGTTAGGGTAAGTTAAGGTCAATTAAATGTGCACTGCACTGTCAGACCACCAGCAGCAGTGGACACATTTGTTTGGTTTGCTACTTCTGTTGCTGTCTGACTCTTTTTGCCAGTTTTTTTTTAATTTAATGACTGAGTTGATATATAGCCTTCACACTCATTGCATAAAGTGACATAGTAAATATAGTTAGTCACACTTACTGTATGCTGAAGCAATGACAAGAGTATTAAATGAGCCCAAATATTTCCTAAATACGGAACCAACGAACATGTCAGTCTTTACGAATGACGGTCTTTCTTGGTTTTCTGCTTCGTTTTGATCCAGACAGCCGATTAATCAATCCTTTATAGACTATCCTTCATCTCAACTAAAGCCGTCCTGCCAAAGAACTGTCTGCATTTATGCTTTGCTTATGGGTTCAAAAATACATTTCCTGCCCATATATTCCCATTAATCTTCACCATATTTTCATATTTATTATTAATCGAGTTATACAGAGATTTGGAAATTCATAATGCGCCGATTTTTCCAATGCAGATGACTATCTAATGCTTGCTCGTGTGCATCATCAATATAAGATTGTGTGTGTGTGTGTGTGTGTGTGTGTGTGTATCAGGAATTGGTTTTCAGTATATCTCTGCATCTTGATAAGGCTGATTTGCATGGGCTGTGTTGTGTGTTCCTTTGTGCTTTGTGAATATTGATCTTCTCTCCTTCAATCTTGTTAATGACTGCTATGGTTTAGTCAGGATGTGGTTGTTTTCTCCGTACTGAAGTTATTGATTCAGGCTAACCCACAGACTAACAGTCACTTTTATAGCAGATCTGATGGCTGGTCTCTGTCACTTTCAACAGATCGTCTGAGGATGTATAAAAAAAACCTCCTGCATTTCCCTTTAAATGACCGACTGAAGAAATTTAAAGCGTGACTTCTGGTTTCACACAAAATCCTTTCAAGTGACTTCTGAATGGATTCATTTCCAATTGAACTTCGTTTGAACCCTACAGAGTGGAGAGTTTTCATTCCTGCATTCTTGCAACTATTTATTGTATAAAAGTGCATTTAATTTACTATTCATTTGTCTGTTTTGTTGTTTATTTTTATTTTATAAGCATGCATACCTTTGTATTTCGTTCATTGCATTCATATACAATGTAAAAATGTATTTGTTTATATATTAAGCTAGCAATTCATACTATGTAAAAAAAAATTGGGTTCCAAACAATAGGTTTGTGTTCGGATAACATGAAGTAGTTAAGTTAACTTATTAGTTTAAACAAATTTAAGTGAATTGAACATAAAACAAATAAGTTATCCAAAAACAAAACTCAATAATTTTGTTATTTCAGCTTATTTTAAATAAGTAGTTAGAACAAACAGCAAACACATATATTGAGCCGTTTTGTGTCTGTGTGTATATTAAATTTTAAAGGGTCATGAAAAAAAAGGTCTGAATGCAGACACAGTGGATAGCAGTGCAACAGGTCTGTTGCTCTATCTATATTTCAACCATTAGCCCTGCCGGTAAACCAGAGCATTTTAAAAATAGGCAAACATAGCAGCACGGATATAAGTGATGTGTCTGAATGGTAATAAACTCAACTGATAAAAGACAAAGTACGCCATTCTCTAATTCTCGTACACCTCTCCTGACAAAAAAAAAACCAACAGCTTTGTTGTATCGGCCCTGACAGCACCACAGGGAAAAACTTGCAACAAACCTTGTGGAACATGGAAACAAACACATATGACCCGTGCCGTGTGCGGACACAGTCTCACCCAGTCATTGAATCTCACAGCTTGGCAGGTCTGCCTTGCCTTCGGAAAGCACATGCTCTCATAAATAATTAAAAAGCAGGGTCTTCTCATAGGATAAGAAAACTCCACTATGAATAATAATGAGAAACCGACACGTCATCACTCCACTAGCTGATTCGAGCTACGCCACCGATTTTGATCTCGCCCCAAAAATGATTTTAAACCCAGACGTTGAAGTTAGCTGACAAAAGCTCACAATTATTCAATTATTTCCATAATTAAAGCTGACAGGTGCTAACCTTGTCTTAACTGATGCTCAACAATTAAGCATTAATTATTTATTAAAATTATTTATTAATTATTGATCAGTTGATTATTGTATAAATATGCATTTAATGCTAATTATTTATTGTTTAAATGTTTAATTTTAAATAAAAAAAATTACCCTTGAAGTAAAGTTTTCCATTTCGATTTTTTTTTTTAAATAAACAATACTTTTTTAAAACTATAGACATTTTTGCATCATAGCCAAGCAGAGGAATTTTCTAGGTTTAAAGTTCAGGTCAAAGCATTATATTTACATTGACCTTCTGTGACCCCATCAGCAGAAATTGCATTGAAAAAGCAACCTTTATTTAATCTGGAAGCATATGATCTGCTGTCCTGTGCTGTAGCGAATGAAGTAAAGCATATCTAGCAGATGTGTATTGAAAGTTGCAGCCCATCTGCCACCAGCCAAAGCTGCTGTTCCACATAATTGCAAGTG